TGAGCAGAGACCGCCCCCCGACGAGGTCCTCACCACCGGTCTGACGGGCGTGTCCGGCGCCGGCGGCGACGACGAGGGGCTGCCGCTCTTCTACGACGAGGCCGTGATCGAGGCGTTCTGGAATGCGCGCCCGAGCGCGGCCACGGCGCGCCTGGTCGAGGTCACTGCGCTGTTCACGCCTTGGATCGCGCGCGTGTCGCTCGACGCGGCGCGCGGCGTGCTCGGAGAGAACAGCGCAAAGCGCGCGGCCGAGCTGCGTGAGGTGCTCACGACCCTCGGGCCCACGTTCGTCAAGCTCGGCCAGGCGCTCAGCGTGCGCCCGGATATCGTCGGCCCGGAGGCGATGAACGAGCTGCGCGCGCTGTGCGACGCAGTCCCCAGCTTCCCGAACCAGGTCGCGTTTTCGATGATGGAGGAGGAGCTCGGGAGGCCCGTGCATGAGATATATGAGGATATTTCTGACAGCCCGATCGCAGCTGCTAGTTTGGGACAGGTGTACAAGGCGAGGCTAAGGGAGAACGGGGAGGAGGTCGCAATTAAGGTACAGAGACCGGATATGCTCAGGAAGGTCAGCCTGGATTTGTACTGCATGAAGAGGGTCGCAAAGCTGGCAGAGAGCGTGCAAAACACGTTCACCGCCGCGCGCACGGATTATACTAGTTTGCTGCTCGAATGGGCCAGGGGAACGTACAAGGAGCTGGACTACCAGAACGAGGCTGCCAACTCGAGGAGGTTTGCGCGCTTGGTGCAGGCGAAGCTGCCGGATGTCTACGTACCGGCAGTGTACGATGAGTACACGAGCCGCAAGGTGCTGACAATGGAGTGGATTAACGGCGTCAAGCTTGCTGACTGCGGCCCGGAACAGATTAATGCGCTTGTGTCCAAGGGCGTCGAGTGCTTTCTGTTCCAGCTCCTGTCCGCGGGCTTCTTCCACGCCGACCCGCATCAGGGCAATCTGATGCGGCTCGACAACGGCCAACTGTGCGTGATCGATTTCGGTCTCATGGCTGAGATCGAGAAAGTGGAAATGGATGCCATGGTGTCTGCCATCGTACATCTTGCCAACAGGGATTGGCCAAAGGTGATCGATGACTTTGTCACGCTCAAATTCTTACCAGCTGGTGTCGATACGTCCGAAGTAGAGCCCGTGATCGGAGCGATCTTGGACCAAGCGCTGGAAGGAGGTGGAGCTAAGTCGATCAACTTCCAGTCACTGTCCGACGAGCTAGCAACTGTGACGTTCGACTTTCCCTTTTCCATTCCGCCTGCCTTCGCGCTACTCCTCCGAGCTCTCTCCGTCCTCGAGGGCATCGCCCTTGTCGGCGACCCCGAGTTCAAACTGATCATGGAGTCGTTCCCGTTCGTGTCCAAGCTAGTGATGACCGACCGCAGCCCGGCGCTGCGGCAAGCGCTCAAGGAGATCCTGTACAAGGACGGGAGCTTCAGCCCGACGCGTCTGCGCGTGCTGGTGGACTCCTCGCAGGGCATGATCAACGCGGGCGACGCGTTTGTCGACTTCGACACGCTGACCGACGACTCGGCCGTGACGCGGGAGGCGATCGACTTCCTCTTCAGCGACGAGGGGGCGATGATCCGAGAAATCCTGGTGGAGGAGATCGCGAAGGGGATCGACGTGCTGGCCAGGGACAGCTACTCGCGCGTGGCGTCGCAGTTCGAGCGGAGCGTGCCGGCGCCGCTCCGAGGCTTCCTCGCCATGCCCGGGCGCTCCCCCTTCAGCCTGCTCACGCCGCTGTCGCCGCTGTCGCCGCTGGCGCTCCTCGCGGGGCCCTCGCCCGTGCTCCCGCCCGTGACGGATGACGAGCGGGCGTACCTTGACAACATGCGTGAGCTTATCGCGTGGCTCGGTAACGACGGTACACAGATGCAACCGCAGGTGTTGCGCTCGCTTCTACCGGAGATTCTGGAAAAGTCCGGGGTCATCGGGCGACAGGTGTTTGGTAGAGTGTGGGAGACGATGGTGAAGAGAGTGTTCAATGACTTGGTGCGAGGCGACGGGGAGGTCGTTGCTGGGAAACGGCGCGTGCCCGGGCTTCCCAGATAGTTATTTATTGAAAAGGATGCTTAGATTGTCAGGAGGATACTGAAGTGAAAAGAGTAATAAATGTGTAGAGTATAGATGTACAATGAGAGGTTTGCTTACGATTGCACTGAGACGTCTACTGGGTCCATTCAGGAATTGGCAGAATCTGCCCCGTCTCCATCTAGCTCTGGAGTCAGGTCACGGCGTTAAAAGATGTGCACGTTCTCATTGGAGCTTGCCAGATTGATGAGGTGAGGTGAAGAGCGATGTGAATTTCACTCGCTGAGGCACATTTACGGGCGCCCTGTGCAGCGGATTCTTTTCGGCAAAGCCCTTCTGCAATGGCTCCCGGTCAAGGTTGTCGCACTGGCCCTCTCGAGGGAGTGTAGTGAAGTGGATGTCATTGACCTCGACTGGGGCTTGGTTACAGTAATTTACGCATAATCGTATGACATGATTGATGTTGTTCAAGAGCCGGCGCTCTGTAAACATCCACATACAGTAATAGCATTGCGCATGGAGAGACTGCTGCTGTTAGAGTGGTGAATAGGGAGCTTACCACGTAGACTAGTTACGTTACGATACCAAGGATACAGTGCTCGCAGAACTGTCAACAATGCACTCCGACACTGTACCCTTCGAAGGGTACTCTACTCGTTGTTTTCTCTTATTTCAATGGCTATTTGTGCGAATGCTACAGTACCGTTGGTACCAAGGGTACAGTACCGTACCCTTCTGGTATCTCCACCGTGCAATACTGTACAGCACGGGCATGTTCTCTTCCGCATTCATCATTGGTTTCCGGTTTTGAAATCCGACGTGGCCCTCCTTTCCCCCTCGCATCCCGCTCTGCGCAGAAAACCGACATGGCACCCCTCCCCCGCCCCTGGCA